AAGCACTGCTCCAACAGCTGAGAAACAACAACTAGAATATAGTGATTTAAAGGGATCAATGGTGAGTCCTTCATCTCACTAAGAGAGCTCAAATGTGTCAGAGGAATTACTCTGCCTGTTCTTTACAGAAACATTGCGTAAATAAACAATAATAAAATGCTTTGTTAGCCTCTGACCAGTTATATCCCAAGATTAACTTCCTGGTACGGATTTACTTGTTTTGAACATGCTTTAAAACACTGGGCTAAAAATCAGGGAAGTACATCCAGATACATTGGACATGTAAAATAGGGAACAGCAGAAGCTACAGAGCTGGTTCAGATCAGCTCTGTAAACAAGTGCGGCCCCTGTAGGACGCCCGAAAGTCAACCAGCGGAGTCTGACTCCTCAGAGGGTCGGCTCTGAAAACTTACAGCGGCAAAAGAGGAGTGAGCTGTGAGCCAATCAGCTCAAACGTGACAAAAAGCTCAGCCCAAAGGTTATTTTCTAATGAATGTGAAGTTCTAAAGAAGGCCTTTCTCATCTTCATTCTTGTGCCACTAGATGGCGCTCTTAGACCTTTTGGGACGAACAAGTTCTTCTGGTCTGACACCTGAAGACAGAAAACAATACTTACCATGGGAACACAGACACAAACACTTCTGCTAAGCTCAGAGGAAAGTGGGCCATAGAGCACCGTGACACCCATACTCCCCACAAATAATATCAGAGGAGATACATTTATTTTAGAAAAAACAAAATAAGAAATGTTGAATGTTGAAATCACATCAAAATTTAGAATTACAAATTGAAATGTGGTCATTCTGATTGTCGTTGAAATTGAAAAGCCTGAACACTCACAGTATTTTAACATGAATTTTAAGATTTGAAAAAAGCAGAAATCATGAGTAGAAATGGGTATGAAAATATTCAACTAAAAGCAAACAAATTTACTTTGGAATCTTCCATCAACATAATCTGCTCTTTACAGATTTTATTTTTAATACTACTTGAATTCATTTGGATATTAGTTGAACATTTTTTATAAAACTTAATAAAACCCCATATCTTTCATATCTTTCGGATAAAGCAGACGTAAAGAGATAATGCAGTTTGTCTATCTAGTATCTAATATAGTAAAGTGAATTGGGTCGAATAATAAGTTTAATCCCCTAAATAAAAATTGTCTCTCTAACAAAATTAATAACAAAGCAAACATGATATAAATCATATATCAGTTTAACAAACCATTACACTATTCACCTGTGCTAAAGAGGGGAGCTTTTTCTCCATCTGTTAACAGAATTAAACAATGTGCTGACCTCTACTTTTTGAAAAGCTGGCCTGTATTCCCTTAAGATAGAAGTTTGAACACTGTGCATTTGTTTTCTCTGTGTTGGAAAGCGCCTGTCTTAGTGGAGGACGTCACGCTAAAAAGTGCTGCTGAGTCATATGCCACAGCCATCTGAGTCCTAAGACAATTAGGGCTGGGGAGTAGGTAAGCGCCCGGCGGCCCTTTAACTCTGAGGGCGGGCAGCCTGAGCTGGTTACCGCAGACACACCCCCATCACCTGCTGCTCACGCATGGAACATCTAATCCAACATCCCATGGAACATGTTTGTACACGCTGGTGATCACTTTTAAGCTCCTGTTGATGCTCTTATTTCATTCATTTGTGAACCAGAATAAGGTTAAAATGTTTTGGTATACAGATAAAAAGGCTGCTGAGTGTTATAGAGATATTCTGTTAGGCACCATTCATGCTTTATGAAAGGAGCTGACAAATGTCTGGACCTTGGTGTAAATAGCATATTTTGTTAGCTTTTTTTAAATGAATCTAAACTAAACAGAAAAAAATCTCTCAGCGCTAAAATGAGGTGTAAATATGCGAAATGAAAAAACAAAAAATGCACATCTGTGTATTTTAGTTACTGTGCCCTTCTTGTGATGTGGTGACAATGATCAAAACACTCCATTTAAATAAAAACTGTAATTTCAAGTTCAAAAGTAGTAGGATTTCCTAACTTTTGCCCATTCCTCCCCATTTAATCACTGAGGAGCATACTTATGTGCCATATACACACATAACTAACTACGTGCACCCCTTAGACCCATACAAACTACATGATCTCTATCCGATCATCAATACATTAAAATTGTATTAAAACAGAAATTTCAATGCTGATAAAAGACTAGACAAAAGTTTGACAAAGATCCCTTTCTCTTTCCAGGGTGCCAGGAGCATGCTTGCCATCTTCGTCATCATCATCATTTAGATGGCTGCTGGTTCTGGATAGCTAATGCTGCAACACAAACTATATTCAACTATATTACATTAAAAGTCTGGCTAATAAAACAATGAAGCCCAACCCATGCAATTATTGGCTGTCTGAAATAAGAAGGTCAAAATGACTTCATATGATTTCTGGATACACTATTAGAAAATAACCAAGAGAGCTCTAAGCACCAAGTCTTTAGAAAACAGTTCCATATTTATTGCAAAATATTTTTGTACAGAATACAACTGAAAAAAAACACCAACAGAGGAGGAATAGACAGTAAGGCCAACATCAGAACTCCAAGAGCTGAACTGTACAAACACCTACAGTAACAGTTGCTGCTTTATTCTTATTTTTTTTACACATATACTTTTCCTGCTCTCACAGCAAGCTCCCTTATGGAGAAAAAAGAAAAAATCTAAAACAATTTCCCCGTTTTTCTAAAACTTTATTGCCTTTGCCTGTAAACCCATCAACTTAGAACACCAATGGACAATCCTTAAATGCTGAAACTTCTGTAAGAAACTTGTCCTTTGATTGATAATGTCTCACAAAATATAAATATATATATATGTATATATATATCATATATAAGTATACAGTCGTAAAAAGCTCCAAACCGTTTAGGACTGATAATTGTTAGTGACAGAGAGTAGCATCTCCTTTTCGTGGAGGTTCAGAGCTCTACTGCTGACGCCATTAGCTCACCTACCACAAACTGTGCAGAGACTATTCTCCTGATTTCGGAACCAATCTGAATGGTAAAGTTTGCTTTACTTCACTCGGCTGGAATAACTGAGCCCTCGCTTGAGTTTGGAGGGGCTTAGCATAGTAAGTCTAGGTAATTCCGGACGTGCATGCCCATGCACATCCTCATGCAATTTGGCACTGACGTAAAAGCTCTTTCCTCATCGTAAACCTCGCGGTAGGCTACATCTTGCTTCCTCCAACTCTGTCATTTTACATATTTTTTTTCTTTACTCATAGAAAAGGCAGAGTGAGACAGGATACATTTCGCCCTCCCAACATTCAAATGTACATCTTTAACATTGGCTCTCCCAAAATTTGGGATCTAATGTAGGGGGAAAAAAGGACTCCTGTCACTGGAGGTTTAATACAAAAAATCAAAATTGAATTAGGATTAAAAGTAGATACAACTTTTTTTTTCTCATATGCATAAGCCCTTCAAGAAAACACGACACACACAAGAGAGGATGAAGAATGTGTACAATCCAGAAGCGCAGAGGTTCCCCCCCTGAAAGTCTCCACAGGGAAAGCAGGTGCTGAGCTACGCAAGTCGTTTTTGCTCCTCTGATTCTGTCTCTGAAAACAAACCTGGTGGACATGAAAATAAAAACAAAAGAATAAAGTTTATCCTCCTTTAGAGAGACACAAAAAGCAGCCGGTACACAATCCTTTCAGTCCACACCGAAACAGAAGTAAAGCTGTGAGGCTCGGAGGACCTTTTCCCCTCCTCCAGTGAAGCTATGTGGCTGGCTCAGTTTGCTCACTTGCCTGTCTGTCAGCATTCTAGCAGAAAAAAATTGAGCTTGTAGTTGGATGCTTCAAAGTTTACCAAACACGGGGCACAAACCAACTCAGAAATGAGAAACTTACGATCTTGATGGTGTTTAAAGATTGTTTCTTATCTAATTACGTCTTGGGATAGGTGTGCAGTCTCCGACTGCTTTTCCTTATGAATTATCCATGAAAACCACCATCTCATCACTGAGAATTAGACCTCTGCTGCTGTCCTCAGACATCAGTTGCTGGTTAGTTCTTTCCTGTCTTCTCAGTGACCCTCCGCTAACACTGTCGTACACCTTTCTGTAAAGCTGTGCGAGGTTGTGTCTGGGAGGAGGCTCTTTACAACGTTTATGGATATCCCAAGTGCTTTCGATGATACGGTACCCTGAGTAGAGAACATAGGCCTGGGGTGAACTTCAGCTGAAGCAAACATCTTTGCCAAGCAAACACCAACCGAAAAGGACGCCACTGAGGTAAAAACCACCTTTCACACATAAATAAAAACCTGCACTCGTAGTACATCAGAAACCACAAATGTAACAAAGAGAGAAAACAAAAACATCAACCACAGATCAGCCATGACAACACAGCCAGCTTTTAAGCTTTACAATATGCATATACCCATGCATATATAGTGTGAATTTCCCCCTGCATACAGACAAGTGGTTGGGGGACTATATAGAGAGCTTTTAGTTATACCAACTCTCTCTGCAGAGACTAACACTGTTTATTAAGAGATTGATCAAAATGAGAGCAAATGTAATTCACAAGCTTAGGAGCAAAAAGACCAGAACCGATCTCCGCGCAGCCTTGTAAACAGAAGAGGCCAGACAGCCACCGAGGATGATGGGTAACAGACATCCAATTAAAGCAGCTCAGATTGGACAGATTAGAGCAAAGTGAGGCTGGCTGGGAGTCAGGAAAAGGAGAGGTGGAGGCCCTTTTTTTTTCTCCTCCCATCTTACCAGTCGGATAATTCAATGTGGCAGCATCGCCTCACGACTTTGCCTCGTCTGATTCCTTTCAGGCTGGGCTAAGCGTCGTTTCTGCCACACTGGGACTAAAATCAGAGTGATCGACGCGTTTTATGTTTCTGCCTGCTGGAGGGAACCTAAACGTAACACACGGTGGGCTCTCAGCAATGTAACACAGCATCTTACAGAGAAGCAACCTATGGGCCGAGCCAATGCTCCGTCGGGGGGGGGGTGGGGGGCGGGCGGGCGCGGGAGGGCGTGGCGGGCCGGCGCGGGGCAGTTTAAGGTTTTTTTAAACGGCTGCCCCACACCCCGCCTGCATCTCCCGCCTCATCTTTGGGTGGTTGGGAGCGGCGGGGCTCAGACGAACAGCTGGATCCGCTCGCGGATGGTCTGCCGGCAGATGGGGCAGGTCTTGAGCGCGGCGCTGCAGTCGATGCAGGAGGCGTGGCCGCACTGGAACACCAGCTTGATGTGGTTGTCGATGCAGATGGGGCAGGTGATGCGCTCCTCCATCTGGCGGTAGCGGGACTGCAGCTGCTCCAGCAGGTTGTGCTGCTCCGAGTTCTCGGTGCCAGGGCTGCAGTCCACCTCCGTTTGGTCTGTGGGAGGAAGGCCATCGGCCGGAGTCAATTTCAGTCAAGTCGGGAGAATTTTTTCGTGCGAGCCGCGCAGTCTTGTGCAAGATGACACGGGGCTGCGGCTTAATTGTGCTTCTGGGTCAAACTAAACGAGACCGCGGGCCGAAGCGGCTGAGCGCGGATGCAGCACGGCTCAGAATGTCTTCGAATTTCACGGGTGCTTTTGCCAGCCCCTCCATAGCTCACATTTAAAAAACATTTTCAAACAGAAATTGAAAATGAAAGCCACAAAATTGGCAGCAAAGTGAAAAATAGAACCACTGACGTTGTAGAACTAGATCGTGACGAACAAAAATAACTGAAAAGGGCCTTTGGGTCAGTTTTAATTAAAGCTACGGACTCAAATAGATTCTGCTTACCTTGCCTAATTTTCTTGGTGATTGTGACCTGACATTTGATGCATTTCTTCATGCGATGAGCACATTCTGTTCAGAGAGGCACAATTTCAGTCAAGTGTTCAAAGTCAAAGCAATACTGAGCACCATACGGAGATTTAGTTTCAAATGATTTCTTGACATTTTGCTTCTTTAGGAGCCAGAATGGAACATTTTGAAGTGGCATTGTGCAGTCCCTTTCAAAAGCTTTTTCTTTACACAATGGATACATTTTTATCCCTTTCAGTCAGTGTAGCTGACTAGTTTGATTGTGTTTCTTCACACTGACCCACAAATGTTGAAAAGGCACCAAACACAGAGGGGAACTAATGTTCTATGCTGCACATAGGAAGACAATTTATTAAATGGAAACTTCAGGCATAATGTTAGTAACATTTTCATCATTTGCCACTACAAAATGTGCCAAATCTAACAGTTTGGCATAAAATAATACTGAAGCTAATTAGGATTGTTCACTTAGTGTGCAATATTTAAACTCAGTTTAGCATGCTTCAATGAAACTCTGTTATTTTCTGCTTACTTTAAAGACTTAAGAACCCTGATTAAACTGTTTAATCATCTACTTAGTGACTTCAACACATTTCACAAACAGCTCTCAAAGAAAAAGGAAAAAGCAGATAAAAAAAAAATCTGCTTTTACTCCTTCGTCGTGCTCTTCAGCATGGCCTCCACCCACCTTCACAGGCCACGCTGTGCTGGCAGGGGCAGAAGAGAACCAGCAGGGCCAGCTCGGAGCAGATGAGGCATTCACTGGGCCCGGGTGGCGTGGGAAACACCAGGTTGGTCATGGTGTTGGGTGTGGTGTGGACCCGCCGCAGGCTGGCGCTGCTCAGGCCCTGCCCGCATGTGATGGCCTGCAGACGCTGCAGCCTGCCAAAGACGACACACGGCTTTAATAGTCCCCAGTGACGCCCGCAACCCCCCCCCCCCCCCACCCCCCACACCCGCCGCGATCTGGCAGAGCACCCACCTGTGCTTCTCAGAAAAGCTCTTGATGAGCTGCAGCATGGTGCCGTCTGCCACCAGGTCCAGAGGACTCTTGCCCTTGTGGTTGGCGTAGTTGATGTCAGCACCTTCCTGCGCTAGAAAGCAGGCGATGGCTGTGCCAACGCTCAGTTCCGTGCTCCCCAGGAGACCCGACGAGTTCAGCTGTGGGCGCACATGGGGATTGGGGGAGAGGTGCGAGTTAAAAACAGACACAGAACATCTGAACAATTCCGCTCTCGAAAGGCAGAAGTTGAGAACACTTTGGAAACAAAGTCAAGGACGTGGTGGAATTTGAGCATCACAATAGTAATTGAAGCCAAATCGCTGCAATCCGGCTAAGAGCAGGACATAAAGCTACATCTAATCAGCACGGAAGAACAACTCGTCTGCTGACAGTGAGCAAAACAGCTCTGAGCTCTTAACTCCAGCCACCTTCAAGGCTGTATATTTGTGTGAGTGTGTTGGCTGGAGCCCAGGATGCTGAGGGGTGCCGCGGTGTCTTCGGTCATTTAAAGTAGAAAGGACATTTTATAACAGAACGTCTATGCCGTCTGATGGGACGGCCTTAAAGGTGCCCGTATAAACATCCAGGTATAAGGAAAAAGTCGTTTAATGAATCAAATTAAACCAGTTCCTATGAGTTAAGTCTCTTTGAAAAGCATGAAGGAGATTAAAAGGTACACCGTGATTATATTAGCTTGAAAGTGGTCATAATTACAGCGGGGACGCCTGAAGAGTAAATCCAGCAGTGGTAAAAAGGCTTATCTCAATGTGCTGGGCATCATATTCTAGGGACAGAAAACTATGATTATGAATGGAAACTGAAGTAAAACACATATGATGGTAATTAAGCATTAATCACAATACTAAAAAATCTAAATTATCCTGCAGATTCTCCAACTGATGACTTTATATGCAGATATGCAGGGTTAAAAACATGCTATGCTCCCCCAAAATAATCCTTAAAGCCATTTCAAAGTTAAGGCATCACAAAGGTTTCTGTAGATTACATCACAACAGGCTCAGTGATCTTTATATAAGACACACACAAATAATTTTTAAGTCCACAGATGTATGAGTGATGTCCAGCCCAAGCCTTTGACATCATGAATAATACTGAAGAGTCGTGTGTTTACACCACTCTTCTAAATTTATCACAGACGTCTTTAACTGGACCTCCATCTTACCCAAATCTGTCACAGTGGACTCTCCTCACCTCTCAAAGCATTAGTACTTCCTTTGCTCCCTTTAATACACCATTGCTTAGAATCTCTTGCCAATTCCTTCTTTTAAAGCCAAAGAAAGAGATTAAAGAAAATCCCGACGTAATCTGTCTTCTAAAAAAAATATATCCTTAATGCGGAGGGCTACTCAGACAAATTAGTGTTAAACTGTCATACTTCTTTAGTTCTGTGTTCTTATAAATGTAAAACTGTACACCAGAGATTCATGGTTACTGGTACTACTCCTTCACGGCTCTCCTTAGCCCAGCCCTGTTCATAAAAAATAAGCAAAGCACTTTCTCCTCAGTTAAAATTCTCTTTAAAGCTTTGTGATCTGGCTCTTTTATGTTTAATCTAAACCTGCTAATGCCAACAAATTCCCCACTGACAAATCCTACATGATTCAATAAACAGTGTACAGTGCTTCAGGTTTTGTAAATAATCCTGCCTTTTATTTGCTTATATCATATAGTCTTTTTAACCCCTCACTTAAATATGTCCTTAGGACCATAAAAGTCCATCTCCTAAACTTCAGTGTAAATTTACAGTGTCTGGGTATTTATTTCCTAATTCAGTTGATCTTTACTTTCCTGGGAATTTTCCTTTTCATTCTTCCTTTGGCAAGTGGCTATTTGGCCTTTAAAAAATGTTTTTTGCCACTTTTTATTCTTGTCAGACTTAAGAGTACGTGATTTTAGTAGCAACCTCAGTGGAAAATCAGGGCTGAAACCTCAGTCCGCGCCAATATTTGGCCCAAATGATCTGGCAATTTGAGAGGCTTGCAGATCCCGTCTGAAACTTTAGAAACTACTTGCAATCTCATCAGAGGGCAGCAACGGAGCATTTGCCAGGTGACATGGAAACAAGCTTTCATTTCACTGACTATTTTCAATAAAACTATATGGATAAGCCAGATCATGATGACTGTGTATCCCCAACAAGTTTCTCATATTGGCTTCTTTTACCTTTTTGATTTTGTTTTTCTCACAACACAGCAAAGCAGCCTCCGTTGTGATTAAATCTGCTTCCAAATAAGATCATAAGAGGGGGAGGATTGAGTTAGTTTTTTTTCCCTTTTGGATGATCCTCCTTTGATGTATTGTACGTACTTGAGATTAGAGAGAGCATTCGTCACTTTTAAAGGGATAGGGTTCTACACTTTTGCAGGGGCCTTTGTTTTATCTTATCTGTAAATCTTTTATAATCTGAGTTGTCTTTCTTTCATTCAACCAACTCCAAACTGTTCTAAAGGATTGTGGGTAAAGCATCAGCTGGAAACTCATAAGTCTATTTGCAAAACAAAATCTATGTAAAACATTCAAACAAATCTGTAAAAATATTCCTGTTTGACCACATGACTTCCCCCTCTAAAGCCCCCGTCACGTCTCACCCTGCAGTAGAGCGACGTGGACGAACACCCGTCGGGGCTCTGCTCGGTGCTGCTGGTGCCCACTGTGGGGGTCAGTGCCACGTTGGCCAGCTGTGGGCGGAGGAGCGCCACGTGCATGGCCGTGTCGCCATCCTCGTCCTCCATGTTGACGTCGGCGCCTTCGTCCACCAGCAGCTGGATCAGGTCGGTGTGGCCCTGCGTCACAGCCAGCTGCAGCGGCGTCTGGTTCCGGTTGTTGCGGATGTTGGTGTCACAGCGTCCCTGTGGGATACGCCACAGGGTTCTGGCATGAGGCGGGCGGAAAGGTTTCATACGACGTGGCAGAAGCTCAGAAATCCTCCGAGGGACTTTGGTCCGCTTCTGTTCTGAGCTCACCTCCTTGATGAGGACCTCGGCGACGTCTCGGTGGTTGTTGAGAGCGGCCAGATGAAGCGCCGAGAAGCCGTCCTCCTTTTTGACGTCCACCAGCTGTCGAGCTCGGCCCAGGATCTTTTCCGCGGCCCTTTAGCCAAGACAAACACCCAACAATCAGTCAGCCCAAAAATTGTCCTAACTTCAGTTAAAGAGCTCATTTACAAACGTATAACCTTATTTCAGTGATCTTCTCGAAAAAGTTTAAATACCTGAAAAAAACATTTTTATTATCGTGCTGTACGTTAATCGAAACCTTTTGTCTTCAAGACCAAATGTAAAATATGAATTAGGCCAATTTGGCGTCACTTATTGTTTGCTTCAAGTTCAGTGTTTAACTGTCAACGGATTGACATGGAATCGAACACCAAGCATATTCATTACCACAATTAATCAAGTTTTCATGCTCACCATCTGTCCAGAATCTAGCAAAAACAGTTCTCTTTTTTCGCAACTATTTCTTTGTTGACGAACTACCATTATTGAAAAGGCCTTTTTCAAGTCATCAAGAAAGTCTGAGACCACACACCAATAGAAACACGGGATCTTTATAATCTAAGTGTATTATGCGGCCAAAATTTGACAAACTCAGTGCAAACGGGATGTTTTTTTGTACCTGCAGCACAGTTGTGTAGTTCACAGCTCTGAGGCTGAAGCTGTATTATGAGCTGTTAAATTGAAGCTGACAGCCTTAGTAAGCGCACAGGAAACTGGCAAATCATCATGCAGGCATAAGTTTGACATTACCCAAACTTTCAGTAGATGCTTGCTTAATTTACTGTGGGCTCAGTAGGATTTTCCTGAATGGAAAATGCTGGCGTCCTGTTCTAATAGATGATGCTGGACTTTGATATTTCAGAAGAAAACCTGCTAAATAGAGCAGCCCGGTGGAAGACACTTTTTTTTAGCATTCGACGTGTAACTAGATCGGCTCATCTGAAACAGGCCATGCGATAAAAAAAATCACAAAATCACAATGTGCATAAGAAAACACAAATAATGTATTCATTGACTTTTATGTAACTAAATGTGTCTATGTGTCTATGGATGTGTGCATGTATGACCCCCATTTCTCAACATCTGAGCAAGCAATTAGCTGGTAATACATTTGGCTGAGGATACATGATGTAGGTACCTACATTTGCCTCCTTTAAAATAAAGAACCCCCTTACTAAATTGAAAATCTCTGCGACTATACACTGCATACATTAAAACTGCTTTCGTAAGGTCTGGGCTGAACGCACAGCTCGTTTTATTACATGAGCTGATGTATGAGTGGGACGGCCTCAGTGATTTAAAGACAGTTAAGGGAGACACTGCTAGAGGTCACTGATACCTGCAATGCAGGTCTGTGTGTGTGCCTGCATGTGTGTGTGTGTGTGTCTGAGGTATTGAGGGAGGGTCCCATTTAGCAGTTTTCACTACAAAGGACCATATATAGCAGAAACTGCTTTATAGGGTCTTCTTATACAATATTTTTAAAAGGTTTACTCCAGCAGCTTGTCAGACTGGGCTGTTATCTTCGTACCACGATGGCCCCAACTATCTGCTCTATGTCCCCCACAGTTAAGCCTGTATGTTCCTGAATTGACGATTGAGTGATGATTTCAGTTTTAGGTGTTTGTATCTTGATTTTTTAAGCCATGGCTTTATTCACATCAACAGTATGAATGTGTGTTATGAGCAGCACAGACTGCACTGTACGGTCAAACGATACAATACTAAAAGAAAGACGAAGCAAGAGAACGTAAAAAAGAAATGTGGTGGAAGTAGGCCGGGAAAAAAGGCAGGGAAATGACAAAAACCAGAGGTAAATCTAGCCATGAAGTTTCACCGTCCCAGTAAATACACTTTAAACATCCTGTACATCCCTCAGTCTCCTCCGTCCTCCTCTAAGGCTGAAAATGTGGACAGAAGAAAAAAAAAAAAAAGGCTGGCCGCATGCCTTCTCTCTTCAATTTCCCACAAACTTGAGTGAACTTGGCCTCCAGCTCTCTTTTTCCATTTCCTCCTAGTAGATAGATAAATAAATAAATAAATAAATACTTCAATAAACAAACCACTCTTGTCTGTTGGTCACAACAGATGGTCACAGCTGCTGTCAGAAACTCTTTGCTAGGGAAGCTGAGAAGCCACAAACTGACCTCTAATTAACTTAAAGACAAGAAACTTTGCATAATGCCTGGGTGCAAATTCAAACCCCGTGTTACAATTTGCATTGCGGATATAAGGAGCTTTTTTAACGCTCATAAAACCTGCTGTACCTGGAAAGCATCACTGTGGTGACGGCCTGTCGATGATATATGAACAAACCAATGAACCGGGTTGATCCTGAAACTGTAAATCCAGTGTCTGTGCTTACGCTGAGGCAACTGATGTCAGGCTAAATGAATAGTGGACAGTGCAGCCTAAACTCCCAGAACTGCACATATGACACTTGCCAGAACAGATCAAACATTTATTAAATGGCTGCATACTGCGGCCCCCATTCTTGTTCCTCTCCCTCATCACTGCTGGCTGCCTAATGTCTTTTTCCTGCTGCACTGATATTTGGCCACATATTGCACCCATGTATGGGAATATCCTGAGATAAGCCTGATTTACATGGATTTTTTTGTTTATTCAAACAAGCATGACAGGAAAAAAAAAATCACCATTTGCAGAGAAATACACCAGATATAGAACAAGTCATGGAAAGTCTGGGAGTCTACAGATGACAATAAAACAGTTTCCAACGGGTGCAAAATAAATTTCCTGGACGCTCTCCATCAGATTACATAAGAAACACTGTCAAAGTCTAACTGCAAGCTTGAATGAAGTGGCATTGCAAGAGGGAGAAAAGCTATGGTGATACTTTGGCTTTTCTTATTTCCTTTCTTTCATGGGTCCTACTTTTCCAATTTCCTGTTGCATGGTTTTTTCTATGTTTGGAAAGGAAAGCTTGTACCCAGGTCAGGGAGGCTGAGGCAAAGACGCAGATCCTCACCACATTTAGGCAAACTTTGCACACTGAATAAGCCCACAGGAAGTTAATCTTTTCTTGATTTTATTATTATCTTACTTTGGTTGTTGAGAGACGTTATTGGAAAAAACCACATATGTAAAAGCATTGCTGCAGATCCAATTTGGATTATGGCCTCTATATTCTAAGTATCTTTGAAAAATATAAAACTGTCATTTTCGTCCAATAAGTAAAAAGTAACATTTGAACGCTTAGTTTAGTGGAGCTAAAATAAAGATTCTTTCAGTTCTTTAACTTTCTAATTTAAAAGTAAAGACTGGAGTGAGTCAAAGTGACTTCAACATGGAGATAGTCATAATAAATCTTTGTTTACCTCCAGTCTTAAAGTTCAGAGGAATAGCATACTTCTCAAAGATTTTTCTTTCACAACAGCCATCCTTTGGATTCCAATTAGTGGATGTAATTCATCAGGCATTAACTGGATATCCAGTAGCTTTCCAGAACAATGAATTCAGCCACTCATTAGTAAATATACATAATTTTTATGAGTGGCTTGTTAAATTTTTATTAATAATCTTTGTGATCGAGTTAATTTCATGGCTGAAAATAATTGAGCAATTCATCTTACAGACACCATCAAAATTACCATGTTGCAGTAATGCATGCACGCACACAATTACTTCACGGCTGTGGTTGAACAATGTATCTGACTGCACCGTAAAAAATGTCGCTAGACTTCTTCTATCGGTGGGGGATGGTTTACAGAAATGAAAGTCCCATCCGGCCTGGCCGTTAAATCTTCCAGTAATCTCTACATTTCCAGGCTGATCGAGGTGCTTCAGAGCTGATTCGATGCAACATGGAGAGAGGAGAATACTGGCACAATAAAACAACAATAACTGTGTTACGCATTGTGAGTGCAGTTTGTTATAGCCTGTTTCTCCCTGCCTGGTCAGTTTTATCTCAGACTGTGATAAGACCGAAGCGAGGGGAGACTTTGTGACAGATGTCAGAGAGCTAGCTTCCGTTGTAGTCCTGATGTAAAAAAACAAAATGTTAATCTTTCATCAGCTTTCTACTGACGTCCCTGAGAAGATTCGGTACACAGCATATTCCCCCCCTACCACAACCTGTTCTGACGCTGCTAAAGGCTGCATTGAGTAAGGCTTTCCTGGGAAAAAACTGCCTGGCAAACGGATAAGAATGTGTTTGGATTCTTGGAATTCTTTGTCCTCTTGTGAATCCCAAATCTGTGTGGCTTTTTCTTTTTTTTCTTTTTTATAAAAAAAAGGGATTTCATTGAAAGCAGCCTGGGAACAATTCTGAAGAATGGTCTCCATATATATAAACCCTAAAAAGTCAATGTTTCTGCATTTTCGCCAGCCACTGACTGCTGGCCCGCTTACAGCAGCAGAAGCGTGTGGGAGATGAGGTCTATATCTGGAACTGATAGAGTTAAGAACTGACCTTTGAATCCTCATTTGAACCCACAAAAGAGATTTGTACACAAACATTACCATGGCTCTCAAAGATCGCAGCACATACTGTGAGATGTCAGTGATGGATTTCAAAACCAACAGCCAAAAACGTTTTACCATTAAATTAATCAGCATAAAATCAAATATGGCACCACAACAAAACACACAGGCCAAAAGGTGGCATTGATCAAGCATGCGAAAAAGGAGAACAAAGTTGACCGCGTATCTAATGGAATGTAATTAAATGTCCCCATTGGACACAGTCTATCCATCCATGGGACAATTATAAGCATATGTTCTGCATAGCTTTACAGCTGTGGCCTGAAAAAGGCCACGTTCATGGGAAGAAAATCATGACATTTAAAAGTATAGGAAAGAAGGAGTATGTGGAAGAATTTTTCTCTGCTTAAAGTAAAACTGAATATCTTTGGCCATCAAGGAAAACACAATTTCTGGTGTAAATCCAAAACTTTTCCTCACTCCAAGAGCACTAAAACCCCTCGGTGAAAGTTGTCAAAGACTTTTTTTTTTTCCAGTTGGGACTGGGAAACTGCTCAGGATTGAGAGAATGATGAATGGAGCTAATTACAAGAATGTTTATGTGGAAAACCTGTTTCAGAAAACTATGTCCACTCAGGCTCTCTGTTTTGTTTGTGTTATTTCCCTTTGCTGTAAATTGTCATGCTGCTTTCTCGATTTGGATAGCTGATATTTTGTGGGGGTTTTTATGATACAAGACGTGAACTCTGAGAGGTCCTCGTTGTTTTTAAAGAATTAGAACAAAGAAAAAAAAACACTAAATTAAAAGAAAACCCCTCAGTAACAGTAAATAAATAACTGACGCAATTAGAATGAACATTTAGGGATCAGAAATTATGTCTCTCTGTGTGGTACATGAGCTGGACACATCTTTCTCACTTACAATTTGTTTCCTTTGAGGGCTGCGTGATGCAGAAGGTTGAAGCCTCTGTGGTTCTGCTGAGTGAAGTCAATGTTGGGCACCACAACAAGGATCTCGATGATATTGCGGAAATCTTTAGCAATGGCATCGTGAAGTGGTGTGTCCCCATACGAGTCCTAAACGAAGGAGCAGATTGTGACCCAAATAATTATTATTGAAGATTTTGTTGAAACAATCAAATTCAAAATTTGAGCCCAAAATTGTAGCATCTTGTGGAAAATGTGGGCTGGAAATACAGCTTTGCTTTCAAGCAACCTAATTCTGATGCTAAATGTCTGAGAATGCCATCTACATAATGGGATCTATGAGTGTAACATCATTTTGTTGACTGAATGTGTTATAGTGTAATATATATTCAGACAGAACAAAAAACAGATGAACACTTTCCACACACAAACAAACTCCAGGCTGGCTGGCTTTTAGCTGAGTAGCTTTACCGTTCAAGCAGAAATAAAGGAGTTAGTTAGTGACTTCTGGGCCTGATTGCAGGCATGAAAGAGCAACTAAAAAAACTAATTAAAAAGAGATGTGATATTCTCTTAATGAGGCCGAGAGCTGATGAAAGCTATGGTGAAAACAACATTTGTGTGTGTCCTCAAATACTGCATTTAAGGGCACTGATTGCTTTGCTAATAATAGGCTATAGCTACTGACTCACGGCCAGAGGCCGACTTTTTATCTATACTGGCATTCACCCAGTAAACAGTAAAGCATTTTGGTTTTTAGAAAACTGGATGTCTAAAAATCAAGAACAACAGCAGAAAAAAATTGGCAGGAATTTGAAGAGCTAAATAATTTGTCGAATGGTTAGAGTGCAGGATTAAGCAAACCAGCAAACTAGACCCTCTCACCTGGAGATTGACGTCAGCTGAGTGTTCGCTCAGCACTCGGACAACGTCAGTGAAGCCCTTGTTGACAGCGATGTGGAGTGCCGTGCACATGGAGTTGTTCAAGAGGTTGACATTCGCACCCTTGTTTAAAAGCAGCCGTGCAATCTCAGCCTGATTGCTGAACCATAGACGGAATAGAAAAAATACATAAGACATCCATTTTGAGTTTTTTTCCATTCTTATCTTAATCTGTCAACAATAAGATGTAAATCACTATGAGCTGCACCAAGATATGAAGGATTGACAACCAAGGAGAAATATGAAAATTCAAAGTTGCTTTTCCGTTTCCTTCCAACATCTATTTTCAATGTTGAATTTGTTTGAATTTTCATTCAAACAAGTTTGAGTGTTTGAGAAAATTTCAACGTGGTGTGAGAGGAAAATAAGGCTTGACTATTTGGCAGCATTTTGATACTGTCACTTTTGTGAACAGATTATCACATAATGAGAAGGGTACCAAACAAGAGCTTAACAGTACGTCTGTCAGTCACAAGATTCTTCAACAAATAAGCAGCTGTTCCTGTTGCACACTCGAGCATTGTGGTTCATTTTTCGCCTCTGCAAATACTACAACATCTCTGCAAGTCAGCAGGAGAACCGCACACGTGCTTCCTCACCCAAAGGCAGTGTAATGCAATGCTGTGTCTCCATCTTCGTCCTTAACCTCCACCGAGCTGTTGGCCTGCAGCAGGGCTTTCACCACCTCCATGTGGCCTTGGTGAGCAGCAACCTGTAGTGCTGTCTTGCCCTGGTTCTTGATATCCACCTGCCAGGAAGACAGACATCTTTGAATGTTCATCACAGTTTAAAGTTGCCTGGACACTAACAGAGCTCAACACGGACTGGCGGGAAATAATCTGCTGAACAACAACCGCATTCATCAAACACGTGATGGATGTAATCCCAAAAGGCTTTGCTGCCTTTGCAGAGTGGACCAGCAGCGAGGTGTGAGGACCATAACAAATAAACATGCCAGAGTGACACTTTTCTTACTGTTAGAAAATAACAGTATATTGGAGAATATAATAGATTGTACAAAACTAAATGGTATTTGGTGTCAATTTGGCCACGTTGTTTGTTCATGATTCTTGCTTTTGTAATTACCAGCATCCTCGTGTGTTGTTATTCAGATGACATGACACATGACAGACTAAATTAGTCTGATGCAACAATCTAATCTTTCAGTCTTAAAGGGGAAATGTGTAAGACTTAAAATAAAAATCATTTAAAAATGTAACTTAGTTCTTATGTTATTTAGCAGCTTCTTGCCAAGAGTGCAGAAAAACAATGGACCTGCCCCTGTCAAATATCTCTGGAGAGACTGCCAACATTAGAGTGTAGTTCAGAGGGGTTAGACCCACCTTTGCTGTTGATTGGCTAACTATTAGTTCTGTCACAAAAAACACAAAATGACAGATAATTGACCGTTTAAGATTTGACCCACAGTTGCTTTATGTCATAGTGTCACATTCATTATTCATGCACTGGCTGTATGACATTATTATCGATGGCTCTTTTTCTGCACGGCTATTGGTGTGAAATTTGAAGTCTCAAAGCCTGAAGAAGCAAACAAGAGGAGACTGATTTCCTGGTGGAATGCCTCGAACAAGCATTTGAATGGAATTGTGGAGAAAAAATTTAATAATTCATTAATATATCGGGTCACCTTGTTTGTTCATCAATCTTTCTGTCAACCGTTTCAATATTGAAACTCAGACACCAAATTAGAGGGAGGCTGACTTATTTGTGTATTTGAACATTTTGTACAAATGGAGCCTCTGAAGTACCCACGAGCCGGAGGGGTGATTTATTGTCTGAAACTGTCTGTATTGTCTGATTACTGAAATTCAGCTTATGCAATAATCTTCTGTGTTTTTTTAATAATTTCCTAAAGCATACATATTTAGATCACTACGGAAAATTAACATTCCCCTATTGCCTTATTTGGCTCAATTTGTAAATATGAATGCCAAAACCCCCACCCCCACTGTTGGTTCCCTGGTGGACAGAGTTTTTGGAGCAGAAAGTGGACTGCAGCAAAGAGAAGGAGTTCTGCACTAACCTTGTCAGGATATTTTTGCACTAGCTCGCGCACTTTGCCGGCACTGCCGTGTGCTGCCTCGATGACCAGCCGGCTGGGATTGTCCTGCTCTGTAGACTGAGACAGCAGCTTCTCCAGCACTGAGATGACAGTACCTGAACACAGGCAAGGACAGGGGAGGAGTGGGGGTGGGTGAGGATAGAGAAAAGAAAGACAAAATAATTAGCTTTTTATGGCAGACAGGAACAGCAGCCGCCTTGAAAAGGACAAAATGGCAAAGTTGCTAATGGAGTTGTCAAGGTTGGACTAAACAGAAAAACAGGAATGAGTCAAAATGTCCTTCCATGCTGGAGAACCTGAGCACACACATGCACACACGTCACACCGTTGTCACACTTCTATCCGCTGAAGTGAACACGTCACCGAGAATGACATGATTAAGAGACTGCTGAGAACTTATGACATGATGACAAATATCCGTTGAGCTGCCAAAGCCTCTTGCTGTCAGCATGCTGGATCATGACATGCTACAGGGAGGAGCACTTCAAGACATGGACACCCTGTCCACACACTGATGGAGAGAAGTAGGGTCATTAATGCATGTAGCAGCCTGTTTCAGAAAGCATGCATAGCAAAGAAAGAGCTGGAATGAGGTGGGGGAGGGAAGAGAAATGCACGAAGGAGATAAAGCTGCTGCTGCTGCTGCGTTAGAGATGAGCCCCCAGGTCCCGGCAGAGGCCTTACTTCCAGATTCGTTGGGGTTCTCGGCTGTCATGAGGTTGGCATCCACCTCTGCAGGCTGAGCTGAGAGGCACGCCGGATTGAATGTCCACGTCTGGCCCCCAAATGCCACCCGTAGGTCACCATCCGCATACACTTTCAACACCTTCCCCACCTGACCAAGCACCTACGGAAAAGGGAGTAAATCATGTAGATCTGCAACGGATTACATAACCAAATCAGATTTATTCATGATTTTAAAACAACAACAACAACAACTCTTTGAGGTAATCAGTCACAGAAGAATTGAGCAAACATCACTTAACTAGATTAGTTCCTGTTGTAAAACTGATTATTGCATAAAATGTAATCATTTAAAAAGAAAAGAATGAAATAAATAATTGTCAATGGTCTAAGGCTACAGTTAGTCATGATTTTAGTTGAACAATTTTGTGTTATCAGTGTGCTGTATGTTTTTGTAGATTGAATGTTAGAATTGTAGTGTGAAAACAAGCCTACGGGAGACATGCTGTCTGTCCACTCTCCATGACCAGCCTGCAGTCTTTTCACCGTCTCTATCTCATCCAACACTCTCACAAGTTCCCCAACTCCAAAAGTGTTAACCTTGTGGAGACAAAAGCAGACAATAATCAACAAATTCAACAATTTGATTTCAGCTGAAGGCATACTGATTATATCAACAATCCTCTGTAAATCGGTACCTTCGTTAGTGCTCCCGGATGGAAAGTCCAGCGGATATTGTTTCCATACTGGACCCTGACATCTCCTCGGTCAGTGATTCTATGAACAGTCCCAATCCTGCAAATGTACTGCGAACACAAACAGGCTCTTTCACCCTGAGTCGCCCCCCTCAGCAAGCCTGTGACCTTAATGTTTCTTTCAGCAGCTGTGATGCAAAAGTTGGACGCTCCAATTCATTTCACTCTGTTGGAACATCCATCTGACCCACTTCTCTTAATATTCTAAACGATTCAGGGGCACGTCCTGTGACCTTTCTACATCATGAAAATTGCATGTTTCCAGAGCAAAAAAAACAAAAAGTATACTTCTAAATTATTTACAAAGTCAGCGAAGTTAAGCTAAAGTGCCTATTGTTATGGGTGTTTGTGTTAGGAAAGGTTGTCATACCTCTGCCATTTTAGGGTTCCATCCTCCATGTCCCTCCTGCATCTGTCGGAGGATGTCCACCTCCAACAGACATTTGACCTTATCGCCCTGCTGGAAGGAGTGGCCATCAGAGCTCTCCTGCCGCTGCAGCTCTGCATGCTCCCCTGGATGGACAGCATCAGCATGAAAAAAAGGACCAAAAAAAAAAAAACCCCATACAGACGTACGTCCTTACCGAGCTTAGGTAGATGATCTTTGTAATAGAAGCCTCCTTGACCGTCTGACACATACTTGAGGTCTACTTTTCCCTTGTGGCCCATTCGGTAGACATTGGTGGTGCCATTTGACCAGGTGACACTAGCCACACTGCGTCCAGACTCTGTGTCCCAGCCGCGAATATCCACTACCTTCCCAACCTTACCCTCCCCACCTACATACATAAATGCACAGAAAAACGCACACAAAGTAGGCAAAAACAACAATGCATAAGTCTTTTGTAGAAACGGCTGAAAAGAAAATCAACCCATGAAAGACAGAAAATTGTTAGATAGATGGAGGCTTGTGGTTAATTTGATCAACAGATGAACATTTAAAAAAAAAACTTCAAGGACAGACATGAGTGTAAGAGATGCTTTTCTCCCTTTTTACACTTAAGCTGCAAAGTGTCAATATCGTTCACTTTCAATTTCACGCTATAAATCTAACACAAAAACAAAACACCACTGTCAGTGTCTGATAAATCTATTCAAAAGCACAAATAAGAATTACTGAGAAGCAATAACACCATTAGGGCACATCCTGTCTGATGCCTGAAAATCTTGTTAATCCATTAAAGCTGCTTCAGTGCAAAACAGTTCCAACTAAACGTGTATGGCCTCATGGCAGGCCGGCAGGCAGGGGGAGTCTGAGCATGCTCAGAATGGTGCACTTATCACATACACCATTTAAGTCGAATGAATGACTTAACTAAACCCCAGAGCAGCAATTGCAATAACACCAAAAGGACATTTTGACTCATTCGTTCTTGATGGTTGCTTCTCTGACAAAAGTTAACTCAGACCAGCACACAAAAACACATCATTATTCACTTGTTCTATAATGCCCACATTTCTGGGCATAAATTCAGCCACTCAGTCAATTAAACATTCAACTATATCAAGATAAAAAACAGAATAGAGCAGGGTTTTAAGAGCTGAAAGAACAGAAATCCCACATAAATGTCACGTGTTAATGGACACATACATGGAAGCAATAAATACACAATTCAGAGAGTTTAAATGAAGGCGTTGAAACGACTAGCAGGAATGGATAAAGAGAATGCAGAGAACGAACTTGTTATAAAACAACAGCAAAATAAAGACAGGCGCAAACTGGCGGGAACATCTGTGGGACAGACTGAAATGACTCACTGCCATTATAAGCACACATGGACACACAACAGCACATATCAACATTATTCAGGTTAATGAGTCGTGAGGTTAGAGCATAGTGTGGCTTTAGGATGGTGAGACATGCAGCTCTATGTAAAAAAAAAAGATGGTTTGGTGAGTTAGTGGTGCCACGAATAAGCATCCCCGCCCCGCACACACACACACACCATACATACAAATTCACATCACTCACCGTCTTGATTGCCCCAGTCCCAGTCTGGTCCACGGACGACTTTAACCCCCTGAAATATTCCTTTAAGGATAATCCGCGGGAGGTTCTGCCTTGGTGTCAAGCTCACTCTGTGATAAAAATATGGAGACGCAGCTGAGCAAACTGCCTGATGGACCATTTACTCTACGCAGCACTGAACAGAAGATATCCCGATCAACGCAAAAGGTGCTACAACAGCTCTGAGTTTTTGGCAAGCTAAATCCGGAAAACACCCAGAAGACATGTTTGAAAAAAAAAAGGAATATTTTTTATTTCATCCTGTTTTTTTGATTGTTTGTTAACTATGGTGCCTTCTGGTTATATTCCCCATATAAACAGAGCCAAAGATAAACAGGTAGACGACTATTTGTGTTTGGACAATTTCACAGAAAGACCTTTACAGTACTAATAGATTTAAAAAAATCTTTTTGCACACAATCACATGAAACCACTACTGCTTCCTAATGTCCAATGTGTTACAGGTGTGGTCAACAAGTAGTCAACAAACGAGTATATTGTCAAAGTCATAGGGTTTAATACACTAATTGCGAGTATAGATCATATCCTCAAAAATCGAACATACCTTATCGTGAAGATTTGATCAGATCTTGGTGCAAAAGAGCTGCCTATTCCCATACTTGACAAGATCAAGCCCTAGCTTCCATTTTAGCCAAACATCTTTTGAATCAGTGAAAATCCAAAGTCATGAAAAGGAAAAGAGCCTTCTGAGAGCTCTCTGTCTTAAGGAGGCTCACAGAGACTCTGTTGCTCCATTACGTCTTTCTGATGCTTGGGTTTTGCTCCTCTGAGCTACGGCACGTACATGTAGCTTGTAAAGCCAAACGAAGACTAAATCTCAGTGCTGCATGGCACTCGGACTGGTCTGCACTTAGAATGGTGTGCTCTTGGGCAGAGCTTTGAGCCTAATCCTAGATCAGAGAGGAAGTCGTCTGAGGCCAAGTCAAAGAGCTTTCACATGATGGTGGTACGTAATGATTTGTGTACGTAACACTGTGTGGCTAATTTGGGTAATTTTAAACATGGTGAAATATGAAACACAGCTGTGGTACGGTAGAATTGCTTGTGTAGAATTTGTGGTGCTGTGCTTAATTACCGGTGGTTCAAATCACATTGCCTTTGACACCAGGCCTCTTGTCTATGATGGTGAAGTACGCTAATTAAGTGAGAAAACATTTCCTTAAACTTGAGCCAAGGTTATTTAAAGCTTAGAGAGGATATAAAGTGACAGATGTCCCCGTTTTGTGACAGAGAAGAGTGACCTCAGAGTTTGATGTTTGTTTCTCGCTGCCAAATCTTTCCAGGAGATCAAGATTTCTAATCCTGCTGGACCAAATGTCAGTCCTGCTCTCAGACAGGATCAAGACAAAAGACCTACGCCTTATGACACAGAGGCAGCACCAACAGTCAGCCAATGTTTGCCTTACTCTTTTACAAGAAACAGGAACACAAAACAGAAACAATGTTCAATACAAAAGTGAGGCCACGTAAGTCAGAGCAGCAGGTTGAGAGCTGTGAGCCACTCTTTCACCAGAAGGCCAGAAAGTGTCGCCGTTTTGCTGTTTACAAAAGACTGTCACAATGTGAGAATTTGTATTTTATTTTGTTTAGTTTTGAGATGGAACTGGAAAGGAGCAAAGAGTGGAAGCTACAAAGACACACTACAGTGAGGACTGCAGCTGCGGTTGGGAGCAGTTTTCATGAAACCTAAATGTGACCACTGGGTGGAGAATAGAGGAAGTTATGTGGGGGCTGAATAGCTTGAAGTACTAGGAAAGGATTAGGCACCAACTTGACCCGATACGTCCCTGTGTGTTGTTTGTGTAAGGAAGAGCCGATTAACCAGCTGCACGCCAATCGCCTTCTTGTAAACATACGGTACACACATATGCTGCCCCGTGCATTGTGATGCATCGACACAGATGTTTCAATGTATCATCTAACACAAAGTTGATACAATATACAACACTGTGAGCTGCTCATAAAAAATTAAAGAGTCATTAAAAGTCATATGCTGCTCACTGACTGTTTAATAATTCTTATGTTCGCAAAAAATTGAACAGAGAATATTCTTCCATCTTGATTTGTTCCAGACCCAACAGTTAATACCTTAAGAAATGTCTTCAAAGAAGTTGTAGCTGCTTATCTGCATATCTGAGAATGGTAGCATGCTAATCCCGTTAAATCTGATGTAATTACAATGGAACACACTGTATATCCGGCTCAGGTCTCACGACATGTTTGTGATGGTGTTACATGAGTGTCAGCATGTATTCAGCATTCAACCATGCTGACCGTGTCCTAACGTCCCCTCCACAAAGTTTGCTACAACTGTCTGTCCATAAACTACAAATCGATAAAGCTGCCTCTAAAGTGGCGCACATTTGGCCTACATAAAGGCTTTGACAATGCCACGTCCAAACTTCCCTTTCCTCCCATGAATCATTCTGGCTCCACGTTAAGTCAAACACATTATGAAACCGAGCTAAATTTGACAGCAGAGGCAAATATCAGTGTGTCCTGTGACTGCCAGATTACACGTCAGTCTTTTGAATACTGACAAAGAAATGTGGGTCAATGTGATCTGAAAATAAAAAGTACCGCATGTATTAAAGCCCCAAATGCTGTAGGCCAGTCCTCATTCATCTGTGCAAAAAGAAAAGAGGTGACTTTAAGGTGATGCTGTTCTTACTCTATGTCACAGTTTTCTCTCAAATTGCACTGAGCTGTGTTAGAAAAAAAGGCAAAGACTTAATGCTTTACATTAATAAATATAGAAGCAGGAAAGATTTTCTCATATCAATCAAAATCTCCATCTTTCCAGTCTTATACAATCTGCTGTAAAATGTTTTAGTCTGTGCTGCCACTGCTCCTGTAATCAGCATTCAGCATCAGTCTGGACTAAATATAGCTATCACATATAATGCAAATTACACCACAAAAGCACAATTCACAATGCAGGGCATAGAGACAAGCAACAATCCTTAAAACTGCTGATAAAACCAGGCAGCAGCTCAACAAGATATGACGAATCAATACGATTACCATAACTGTATTCGTCCTTTCCAGGTAAACACGACAGGACATATTACAAGTCATTATTTCTTCAGACTGATTCAGAGGCTGTGTGAAATATCTAAGTAGACCCGCATCTATATTTCTAGAGTCTCCAGGTCTAGACTTTGTCTGGACCACTGAAAGAGCTTGATGTTTGTTTGTTTTTTCTCTTTCAGACTTTCTGTTGTTTACTTCTGTGTTTGGGATTATTGTCTTGTCGATGACCCAGTTTCTGCAAAGTTTTAAGTCCCTGACAGATGGCCTCACGTTTGACTCTGATACTGTGGTAAACAGGTGGACGCAAGAGACTGTGTGAGGTGACTGCCTAACAAGCCCCCAGCCACTGACATGACGAGGCCTTTATACGCTTTAATGGTAATGCAAAACGCCTAAAAATTTATATTTTTATCCGTTTTAAAGAAGCCAAAACGAAAATGTATAAACTCTTAGAATTCTCAGTAATCAATGCATAGCCAAGGTTTCAAAAATCTGAAAATCTGCAGTTATTGTGCAGCTCCTTTGCCAACTCGACCGTACGTGTAGGAGCAATTTAAAACGATATATTAAAAAAATATCAGATTTGATGAGAATGGAATCATTAAAAGCAGGAGGCATGACCCGTTCACATTTGGAGCTGAAACAAATGTCATCCAATTACTCTTTTGCGATGTAACCATTTCAATACACAGATAAATAAAATAATAAAGAGGAAAAGTAAACATGTTTATGAGTGTGTACTTTTTGGCTCATCCGTTTGTGACACAGTTGTTTCCAACGTCTTTGGGTTAAAAAAAGGGAAAAGAAAAAGGATGATTCAATCACACTGAAAGGATGATGAGTCATGATTCATACACCTATTTCCTGCATTCACTGGACAGCAGGCTGTTGAAAACAAAAGCAACCGTGTTGGACCTGAACCAGGCTGAACTATAGGAGAAATCTGGGTCATACATATCACCTCGTTAAAAAGAGAACAGGCCATCCAGCTGACATTCAGACGGCGCCTTCAGCATTTTGGAGCTTTACTGTGAACTGATGCAGAAGAGTAGATTCTGAAGGGAGAACTCACTCCAGTAAATCTGGGTACGTAGGACACTTGGAACCGGCTCACTAAACATTTATCCATATCTAGGCCACATGTGATTTGTCAAATCTGACCTAAGGACAGAACAATTTGACTATAACTGCGAAACAAATCTGTTCCTTTGGATAAACTAACTGTAGCGCAAATAATTAATTAGCGGTTTGTGTTTAAAGGCTCAAGAAACTTGCTATTCTACTGCATCATCGCTGAATCATCACCCTGTTCTAATATAAAATATAATCTTATCATCATTTGTAATTTTATCCATCACACATTTGTTTTACAAAGTAAGCACTGTCCTGTATTACAAAGGGGACCCTGTAAAAAAAAATGCTGCGTCATTTTAAACGGAGATCATGATATACCCACACAGGATGTCCTGACAGAAAGGGTTAGTCTATGCTGAAACAACCAGAGAGAGCACCGGCTATGAGCTGCCATTATCAATTAAGTGAACAACTGTTTCTGCTTCTTAAAGGACAGGAAGCCCTGTTTAACACAATACAATCTAGTTATCACTTAAACCCTGACTTTATATGAATAGTTTTCCGCTGTATGTTCATGAAGAAAAAAAATGAGCGCAATGGTTAAACATCCTTTTATCTTTTAATTTCCATAATTTGGCTACTCAATATTTCTTCTGTTAAATAGTGTACTCAAAGACTCAATATTTCACATTTCTGAAAAAATGTAAGGGCTATATTCTGGGATCAAAGTGAACTAATCAATGCGGATAAGAGGCTTTTTATAAGCATTATCCTTCATCAGAAGGCTTCCAGTAATTGTTTCCTGTGTACATTTTGAATATAAAATTTTATTTGACAGCCTACAAAAAACACTCCTTATATTGGTCTTTCTCTAACACTGTAGAAAAACAGGCTGTGGCTTACAGAACGTACTTATCTGTTGTCTGTTAAAAAAGGAAATAAATGGCTCTGTTATGCTCTTGGTTTACCAGCAAAGAAGCACAAGAAAGCACGAATGGACGGACTTGGTAAGTGGTCTCCTTAAGAAATGCATTATGTTCTAGATATTTAATAACTTAAAAGGTCATAATAACAAAAATCTCTGAATGAAAATAGAGGGTTGTGTGCCCAACTTCTGTCAATCCACTTAACACTAACACGGTCTTTCTTTCTTGAGTCAAACTAGATGTAAGCAGTGCAAGGGTCCGCACACATTGTGCCAGACAACGGTGCAATTAGAATTTAAACCAGGATCAATCGTGCTGGCAACGGAGCCAGCAGCGTGGTACTTACGGCTGGGAATGTGCGGTTTCGTAACGTTCAAACGCGTGGCTGAGGTCGTGCTTGTTGTTCATGTAACACTGGGTACACAGATCATAATCGAAGCACACTTTGCACTTCCATCGCATTCCCATGATGCCGTGCTTCTTGCAGCTGTCACAGATGATATTGGAGTGACGCACCCCTGGAGGAGAGGAGGAGGTGGTGAGGCAGGTTTCCATTTTTCTCGATTTCACATAATCCTACATCTAGAGTTGACAGTTTTTGGGTAAAAGTTATAAGTTATAAGTAATAAGTTATAAGGTAAAGTAAGACATGCAAACTATCAATGGATGTGTGATTCCTGGTGTTGCCCGTCGGGGTGGCTAATATCAGGACATGGCAGAGAACTGAGGCAGAAACATTGTGATAAAAATACTGCCGCCCCCTTGGCTCCTCATCACTCGTCTTCGTTCGCTCTATTAATTGAAGGCCAGGCTTCTCAAGCAGAAAAAATGTCACTTTAAATGGAGCAAAATGCTAATGAGTCCTGCATTAATGTGTGTGTCACTCAAGTCTCCAACAGAGCTGGATGGTTGATGACAAGAGAGGGTCTCAATTATATCGTGCCTACTGAAAAGGGCCTTGAAGGCTTTGTGAGCCCTGATGATGTCAAACAGGTACAAATATGCAAGACGACATAAAAGAGATATTTTTTTCCACACCTTTCATTTAGATTTGGAAAAAAGAAAAAAAAAAGGTAAGCTTTTGAAGCCTAACTGAACTGAATATCTTTTGAGCTTCGGTATGGCCGTGGTTCCGAGTGCTTACCTATTTGAGCGTTATCATAAAGCAGCAGGTCATAGGCCCCCTGGTAGCCGGTGCGGTAGTTGGTCCGTGTGCCGCTGTCCCACTGCACCACTACGGTTTTGTCTGGGGTGGTGGTGCTGCCCTGCCGCCCGATCTCCACCACGGTGCCCACGTGCCCCTCGCCGTCATCCTGGTTCCCCCACTTCCAGTCCAGGCCGCGCACCACGCGCATGCCCACCTCCATGCTGCCTTCGCTGGGACTGGGCCTACACGCTGAGGGCAAAGGCCGGGGCCTGGCAGCGCTGTGTCTGCCGCCGCCGCTGCTGCTGCTGCGCCTCCGGGGCTTCTGAGGGGCAGAGCCGGACCGCCCGGATGGTATGGCCGGCAGAGATGGCACCAGGGTTGTTTCTGGGAACAGATCTGGGGTGACTGTAAAACAGAGAGAATAAAAGATCAGATAAAGTTGGGGGGTCCTGCTCAAACATAGCATGACAAAAAAAAAAAAAAGCCAAAAGCAGGTAGTGAAAATTTTAAATACATTTAAAAGAGACGTTTGAAGAGGCGTTATCTAGTAATTAAAACAACTTCTGATATCCTTTCCACTAGTTCTAAAATCGCACAGCACGCGTTGTTTCACACAACCTGTGTTGCCTCGCACAACCTGTGTGCATCGCACAGCGGTCGATGAGGGAATCGTTAAACAACAAGCCATATGTTTCATTAATTTCAGAGCAGTTTTCTTCTTGGCGAGTGGATCACTCACTGGAGGCCCTGGAGTGTGTCATGGCACACTTCTGGAGGGAGCAGCTGAACTCCACTGCTATGCCCCGCTGCGTTAATCAAGCCCTGACCTGACACAAACACACACACAAACACTTCTGCTTACATCTGTAACAGAATTCACCGGCGTCACAGCCCCCATCCTTAACATTCAAATCTTGAATGAACAGTCCTTTATAAATAGGCTATCTGTTTTGAATACTTAACTGTCATAATGTTAAATCAATCTGAACTCAAGAGTACATATTTATCAGTGCGTTTTGCTAACCTGTAAGTTTGGTAACTTCCATATAGCTCACTTCTTTGACCACAACAAAATGAGAAACAAAGTGAGTCTTTTCATAAGGACAGCCGAAGCAGAGCTCATGTCCCAAACTGGTGAGTGATTGCACCAGTAGTTTTAATGAATGCTGCTGAGAATCAGAGACAGGAACTAATACGGAGAGGAAGCTGCACTTACAGGATGTGGAGGCTTTAGTCAGCAATATGGAAAGAATCTTTTGCTGAAGAGCATGATCATTTAATTACACTCATTAATCACATGTGACAGATATGAAATACTCTCTCATCTTTAGCAGTAATTTTCCATCTTCAGATTCTACAGCATATCACAGCAATCCTCTTGTTTCTGGGTCTAACCATGTGATTAAATGTACACATAAAACTGTCAGCATGTTAATGCCCAGCGCTGTTGAACTTCTCTCTGAATGAACTGGCCACAACATAAACAGCGCTTATAAAAAGGGGCCAACACATTACACGCTGTGACCATCTGTCTGGCTTTTAGCTCATGAAATAAAAAGGTTAAAGAAAAAAGGGAGGGACGATCGCTAATATTACACATATGACATATAGGAAAACTGAACACTTATCAACACAAAGAACACCCCCAAAGAAATCTGTTATTTTCACCAGAGAGCAGTAAATTATTTTCTCCAAAATGCCATCTCATAACTAAAGCTCGGAACACAATTGACAACCATATTCTCACTGACTTCTGCTAGACCTGTGCTGTCCCACGTTAATAGAAGAAGAATCACTTCAACCAAGGGGCTGTGGGGATAGCAAGGTTTAAGATATTCAGCATTACCCGAGTGTGTTAGTCCAGCTTTTGAAGCTTCCTTGTTGTGTAACATCAATTCTAAGGTCACTTAACGTCACTTATACTGAAATAAGGAGCCATCTGATCACCATATCTGACCTCTGTCAGACAATTCATCAGTTCCCAGTTAACAAGTTTGGATGGCGACTATGAGGAGTGTGAAGCTTATTGTGTGGAGAGAGGAGGTGTCCTAAATCAGCTATAAATGCTTGTGTAAAGAAGCTGTCTTAATTATGTATTCATTCATTAATAATGTAATAATAATTCAAACAAACAGTTTAGTCAAATGTCTACAAAGATATCATAACCTTACAAAGACCACCTTTGCTGGATTATTTGCTTTTTACCTCGTATGCTTTTATGATTCTCAACTGCTAGTTGAGCCAGTAATGTTACAGAGAGCACTTGGATTGTAGTGGGGATTACAACATGTGGGATGCAGGGGATTTAGGAATAAAACGCCCAAAATGACAGCTGATTTCCTCAAAAACCAAAATGATACAACAGTCTTCTTGTATTACAACCTGCACACAGAGAGGAGCTGTCAAAGGCAGTGGCAGCTTACAAAAATCTTCCAGCTTTTGGCATGTAGATGGATGTGGGACAATGGCTGAAACTACCATCAATCAGCTTCAATTGGGCCAAACGTCTCAATATTTGAATCAAGGAGTGATCCCTCGTATTTAATAATTACAAGATTATGTAAAGCAGAGTGAGTAATAGCAGCTAACTAGAAGCAGTTTTTAGAAACTGTTCTGGAGATGCTGACTGCAAAATTTAACCTACCACCTACATCTAAATCCTACACACACACAAACACACACACATATACAATCCCTCAAACTCCACCTACTGTGCAGCTCCCTAAATGTGTGCGAACACTGATATCTTATCATTATTAAATAGGCCGGTGCTGACAAGTAGACATAAGATGGGAGATTTGCTGGGTGAACACACACACGAGGCTGTTTCCCACATCAGCGTTTGACAGGCACGATGTTTCTGCCTCAACAAAATCCTCAGTTCACAAGAGCAACGTCCAGAAAACACAGCTCATTGTGGCCTCTGATAAACACATTTAGAAAATGACTGCCTTCTCCTTAAAACCCCACATTACTTCTGAATGTTGACAAATGATCGCAGCCAGAACGCCTTCAACCATCAGCGTCAGTGCTGCAAATGTTCTAATAGCTCCGCTAACAGAAGCAGTTTCTCACAGCAAATGAGAGCTGCTTTGTTTTTGGATATCTATTGTACATATTCAGAAATGACACAACTGTTTTATCACAAGAAGCTGTAAGCTGGGTCTTCAGAGGGAATGCTGCACTCATTTTGGGAGCGAGATTCCCCCATAAAAGCAGCGTCTGCTCAAAAGGTTACATTTGACATTTGCGGTTGAGTGAGTCAGCAGGACAGAAACAGGACAGGACCTTTTCTATTGACTTCAGAGAAGATTCTGCTCTTCAGCTGATGATCAAGGTAAACAAAAACAACCAAAACTGTTGATGCTGTATTTACTGCACGATAAGATCCAAATATTCTTACAGCTAAAAAATAGACAGTTTATAGCTAGAAAGAAACCTGTATTTATGCGACTATAAAGGTAAATTACAATAGCCCACCGTTTCTATCATCACACTTCAATATGGGATGGCAACGCGTGTTCAGAGCCAGTAGGGGCAGGTGTAATCTGAGCCACGCTGTTCCAGAGGTTAGCTCTTCAACGTACATTCCTCTGACATTTTCCCATGCGTGTGTGTGTGCGTGTGTGTACGTGTAAGATGACCGGGCCACCTGTGTTGCTGAAATGTCACTACCAATCTGCAGCAGAGGGCTGAGACGGGCGGGATTACAGCTCTCTGCCTGCAACAACAGATGGGCTGGCTTCCGTCACACACGCTGCTGAGGGCCAGTCTGTGAGGGCAGCTTCAACCTCCTTCAAACAAACAACTAAACAGTCGTTTGGCCGCGGCACCAAAACACACGTCGCCATAAACGAATGCACACGCCAAAAAAAAAAAAAAATGCTCAGGCTCGGAGCTAGACATAACTCGAAAAGCTTGTTTTGAAGCATTACATGTAGTGTTTTATGTATTTAACATCAACAGATGACAGAAAATGTTTTTGCAAAGTGATTTGTTACACTACAATCAAAAGTGGAAATGATTTTAGAAAAGAAGTATTGTGAATTATTAGTTATTTTCCAAGTACACCAATAAAATTATCCTGAAATAAATAACAACCACAAGTAAATGAACGTGTCATTGGGTGTGTTTGTGCGTCTCATGTAAGGTCACACCGGGGGGCTACACAATGCCATATAAAGCGCTATAACGCTACATACCAGTGATCCCACCAGCCTCATGAAGACAAAACAGTCTAGAAATCAACAGGGAATGAGTGCAGGGTCAATAGAAACAGGTCAGAAACACGATGCCCCACTACAAAAATGTTTTAATAAAACAACACTGCTTCGAAAGTGACCCAAAAGCTAAGATAAACACATTTCATACAAGCTGGTTCAAACTACCTGATGGGCACCACCAATCTGTCACTTGTTACCCAAGCAGACGTGTTTGCCCTCCGATGGCCTCTTCTGGATGGTAAAAAGAGTATATAAATCCAACTCAGAGCCACTTAAAATATGCTGCCTAACATGCTAAACAAAAAAGACTTAGCTGAATGTCCTCTGACAGATGGTTTAAGAGGCTTTTTCTGTTTCCAAAATCATTTCAACTCGACATAAATACTTAGTCATATCTTATATATGTGGAAGAGCCTGCTGAAACAGGCTTGTGTTGAACACATCTGGCGCCCAGAGGACATCTGACAGAAATCAATCAGGTCTCTGAGCAGGTAATACATGGTTAGCATGAATTCCTTTAGCGCGGCGGTGTCGAGCCTTACAACGATCTCTCAGTCCTCAATTTCTGTCTTGCCTCAGTCTCAAATCAAATTAGTAAAGTCCACACAAAGCAGACAAATCCACAGGCGGGACTTTAAATGTGGAATGGAATTACAGGACCATCCCACTGACACCTTCAAATATTTATCTTGTCTCTCATGACAATAAGCACTCCTCCAGAGCTTAATCACAGCCAAAAGACTTAAGACTAATACTTACAGAACAGTTCATATGACTAAGCATAATCCCAGGGGCTTCCACGCACACACTGACAAACATCCACACTTCCGTACAGTATATTTGACGGGATTATCACATCGCATCATTGTGGATGATTATACTCACTCCCCATGATCTTCAGTCCACTAGTGAACATGCCGGCAGCGATTTTCCAGTTTGCCGTCACAGAGCACAGCGAGCTGAGCGAGCTGATATCCCGGGTGGCCCAGCAGGAGCATGTGAACTCACCAGCCCGCTGTACAGTCACCCCACTAACGGGTGAGCGAGCCCTTTTTGGCACGGCCTCGGTATTTGGTTAGCTGTGAACTTTGAGCTTTGCTTTGGAACATACTGTTTTTCTTTCTTTCTGGTAGTTTTTTTTTATTTTTTTGGTCTGACAGATGTTACTCAAGGACTGTATATG